CACGGCCGTGCTTGTTGCGGCCGCCATTCCTTCGCTTGAAAGTCTGCACAAAAACAGAGATACATACATATATAGATTCAGAGTTTTGATTGATTGATTGATCGATGATAATTGGTAGTAAAACTGAGAAATCAGTATCTCTAATCAGCGATCTGTCTTACCATCTTGATCGGTAGCCTCTGGTTCACTGCCCAAACCCTTGCTTCAAGGTTCTGCCTCGACGGCTCTCTAGGGTTTTTTTTGTTTTGTTTCTGAGGGTAGGGGAACACTCTGGGGTTAATATTAGAGGCAGCAATGGTGGGTTGAAAATCAAAAGTGACAAAAGGGAAAAAAAAAAAAAATCATTATCATGATAAATTTATCATGCAAACAAACAAGGGAAGAAAAATTCAAAATTTTCCCTTTCTCACGCTACCCACTACTTCAATTCTAAAGTTTTGCACTAATCTTTCATGGTTGCTAGGAAAGCCACCACGCTTAGAGGGAAGATAATAATTCATGGATTCTCTTAGCATTAATATACTTAGGAAAAAGGATGCGGAAATTCATTTTTTAAGCATAAGCTTCACGTCGACTACTTTTTACCTAAAATTTCAAATCATATACTTCAATTCTTTTTAGCAGAGAGAGAATAATATGTATTGTATTGAATTGAATGATTGTATTGAATATATTTTATACAATAGAAGGTATGTATATATAGGCTAAGAAAGAGTAATCTACTAGAAACCTAATTATAATTATTTCTAAATATATTTAGAAAATCAATACCTAATATATTTAAGAATACCACATATACATTAATACTCTTATACTCTAGAAAAAATCACTTTTCTTTTTCACCTTTTCTGTTAGAATATAGATGATGATGGGTCAATAAAACACACAATGCAATGGAAATTTCTTTTTCAAAGTTTATAAATTGATGTGGTAAATGAGTTGTTCTTAATATTTTTTTTTTAAATTAAGAGAATTTAAAAAGTTTAAAAAAATGATTAAAAGATTTAAAAATTCACAAAAATTTAAAAAAAAAAAAGGAATTAAAAACTTCAAAATTGTTTTCACAAATTACAAAACCAAACAAATATCTTTTATAAATTTCAACAATCAAATACATGTTATATGAATGGAAAATGTTAGAGGGTCACAAAATCTGTCGCTCAAATGGTTCAAAACTGTCAAAATGACGTCGTTTTGCGTCGTTTTGTGCTCAAAACGACGTCGTTTTAACAGTTTTGAACCATTTGAGTCACTGATTTTATTACCCTCTAACATTGCTGTATATAAATTTAGCCAACGAAACAACTAGCTCTGCACCGTGTACAACAGACGTTCCTCTGCACCGTGTACAACAGACGTTCCTCTGCACCGTGTACAACAGACGTTCCTCTGCACCGTGTACAACAGACGTTCCTCTGCACCGTGTACAACAGACGTTCCTCTGCACCGTGTACAACAGACGTTCCTCTGCACCGTGTACAACAGACGTTCCTCTGCACCGTGTACAACAGACGTTCCAATTTTGCTTCTGCATGTGTGAAGCACATGTCGTCCACAGACACAATTATTGGTGTCTGTTAGAGAAAGGTTACTTTTGTCACTTTAATAGAACAATTCAAACAGCACCAGTTTTAAAAGTTGATGAGATCTTGTCCCCAAAAAATATTTGATGAGATTTGATGTTTATAGGGTCAAGGGTACTGAAAAAGTGAAAACCATAATAATTAGGGTTAGTTTGGCGTAGCGTAAAAAAAATAGAAAGTCAAAAAATTATTTAAAAAATATAAAATTTATCACTATTTATAAATATATATAAAAAAATAAATTTACAAAAAAAATATAACCCAAAAAGTCATTGACGTGTCTGAACCAGATTGTACAAATTACCTAATCGACTGCACAAAAAATTTACAAAAATCGGTGTTGGTTGGTTTATGGAGGCCTATCACGGGTCCCGTTTTAATAATCTGAACCGTTCAATGTGTAGAACTCGTCGAGTACTATATGCTTAAAAAAAATCACGTTGATCGGATATTAATAACTATAGGATCAAATCAGTTAAAATTTATAAAATGGATGGTGTTATATTTAACGGTTAAAAAAAACTAATTCGATCAGATAGCTATCGATATCCGATCAACGTGATTTTTTACAAGCATATAGTACTCAACGAGTTCTATACATTGAACGATTTGATTAGCAAAAAAGACCCGTGGTGGGCCCCCACAGGCCGAACTGTGAAGCCCCTCAAAAAAATGTATTCTCTTTAAAAACCCTTATGTTTGAATTATTTTCTTGAAAGCCCCTCAGTTTCTTAAATTATTTCGAATCTTGTCGGTTAACTTTTTTTCTAATTTTTATCGAAACAGGAATATCCTAGCCGAATTAGGTTCCTTAGTTTAATTTAATTTAATTCTACATAAATAAGGTTCCAATACATGAGTTTAAATTCTAAGCCCTCACTTCTTTTATTAATTTTGAGAATTACCCCAAAAATAGTACATGTACTTTTTATACTATAGGTACCATCAAATCAATTTGAGATATATATTTGCATTGGGAAATGTGTCCATAGCACCTATATATTGAATAAAAAAATTCCTCATTTCCCTTCTCCATGGCCGGCCAACTTAAAAGAATGTGAGGGACCTATTTCAAGACTTGTAATTATGGCATTCTAGAAGCTCTAGTACCTAGTACCCTTAAATCTAGGGTTGTGTTCCCAACACTAGTTCCATTCCACCTAGAGGCCAACTAAATATTGTCTAATCACATGATTAAGTTCCCTAATCACTCCCTATTCCATTAGACTCTAAGTAAATCCAAGTTTTTCAATCCAATTCCAACTAGTAGGCCTTTATGTCTTTTTACACCAAAATTGCCTATAAATACAACCACCTCCTAGCATGGCATACACAAACAACACACACTCACATACATTCGGCTTAGAGAAGAGAAAAGAGAGCAAGAAAGAAGTCTTGAGAGGGAGAGGAAGGAAGAGGAGAGCAATCTTGTTCAAACTTAGCAAGTAAGCCACAACACAACTCTCTCTTTTATTTTCCTTTTTCAAATACATGCTCTTAAGGGTTCTAAACATTGTTTTCAGATGTGTTTTAATGATTTCCTTGTGTTAAAAATGAAAGGAGTTGAGCCATGATTCTACTCTTCTTGTAGTTCCCCTTATTTAGTACAAAACTATCTTTTTCATACCAATCTCTCAAACTTTTCAAATGCACACCTTCAAGCTAATTTTCTGAGTTTAATATGTATTATTTAGCAGATTTTCATCACAAAAGAAATGAAAAATTTCCCATAGTGGATCCCTTTCTCGCAAATCTTCTTGTTTTGGGTATTGTGCCTTAAGAATCTATTTTCACAGCCAACTTTCAAAATTTATAGAAAAATGTAAAAAATTATTATGGACCTCCATTTTATGTCAAAATCTTCCTTAAGGAGTTATCTTTCAACTAAAATTGGTTTTATTGAAAATGAGTGAGTGATTTGTGAGAAACTCTAATTTTCGTAACGGTCGACGAATCTGGACAGCACTGGAGCATTTCTTAAATAACTAAAAATCTAGAAAAGCTATCACATTTTCTACTCTTGTAACCTTAGATAAACCCTATGTTTAGTGGTTAATATATTATCTGATGTTCCCGATTTTTGGGACGTCATACGAACAACACCTCCAATTCAATGCCCAAAAAATAGGGAATCATATCCCAGCTTACACTCTACCTACGTTGTCCTGAATTATCTCACCGTACTACCTATTTCATCCCAATCTTCTCTTATATATTAATTTATATAATTTTTTAATACACATTTTTTCATAAAAAATCAAAAAACTAATCCAAACATCTATATTTTTTTCTCAACTTTTTAATTTAAAAAGATAAAAGGACGCTTATTTAGGCCAAGTTTGGAAAGACTAAATAAGTGTACTTTTTTACTTTTCTTGTATTATGTGTAGAAAAAGTAGAGAGGAGATGTTGATTGATGTGACCTAAAAAAGATAAAAAGATGAAATAAGTGTACTTTTTTAGTTTAGCCAAACTTGACCTTAGTACACCCAGACAATTAAGATAAGCATGGGTCGGACTCGGGTTTAGTGCCATCCTATAAAACTATCTTTCGGGTCCGAACAGTGCAAAAGCAAAACCCCACTACCCCTTGATAGCTCCACTGGTAATGGCTAAACCTCCTCTATAACCCTTTCAAAACTAGCCATGTCGTTGGCAATTTCCACTCTCAGCTCTCCAAACCCATTTCTCAAACCTCCTCGCTTCTTCGCCTTCAATCTCTCCTCTCAGACTCGTCTCTGCTCTCCAACTCCTCCTAACCATGCCCTTCCATTTCGCTCCTCTTCAATCTCAACACAATCATCGTTCAATTTGCTACGTTTTTCTACGAGTAGAAGCATAGGATTTTCGAAGCGAGGGTTTCGTGCGAGTGCAGAGAATGGGGAAGAAGGTGAAAGTAAGAGCTTCTTTGATAAGGCCGAAGAAGAAGCCCGAGGGCACAGTACCATGCCTGACCGGTTCAGGCCCTTGACCAAGGAAGCCCCAACCCCACCTGTTAGGTGGCCTTGGTTCATAGGTACTTCAATTATTGCTTATTATGCTGATTTGTATGATACAATGTGTGTGTGTATATATAGGGTTATTTACACTTTAGTTTGACTTAAATTTCACTTTATTCCCTATGGTTTGAATTTGAACAATTTGATACTACGTTTTAAGTCTAGTTCCGTCCAAATTGAAGATTAAAATTAATAATTTTAGGACATTTGTCAAAATTTTAAGGTTTCAATTTGATTTTTCCGTCTGAATTGGAGGTTAAAATTAACAATTTCGGCAATTTTTTAAGGTGTATAAGTAGACAAAATTGACAAAAATTTAGATGGAAAGACCAAATTATTCAAATAGAAATTATAGGGATGGGGGAAAAGTGTAATTGACCCATATATATATATATATATATATATTTATATTTATATATGAATAATTTGATATATGTTTATGTTTATGTGTTTGTATAATGAGTGAGTAATTTTTTAGTATATGTATTTTATGTGTATTTACTTAGCTTGGCTTATATTAGCATGCAAAGAATGAAATTGACTCAATAGAGTAACTAAATTTGGAGCAAATGTCTTTTAAAAGTATGGTTTGTGTGTAATGTCTATATGGTTTGGATTGTATATGTGTATCAAAAGCAATTTGGAAGTCTGAAATTAATCGTTGTCAATTGATCCCTTCAGAGAAGTAATAGGTAGGGATGACATGATTTGAACCCGTGACATTTTGTACCCAAAACAAACGCGCCACCAAGCTGCGCTACATCCTTTTAAGTTTTAATTGGTCTATAGTGTCATTGTAGAGAATTCCTGTCTTGTTTGAATTCTTGTCATGTTTTTCCATATCCTTATTTTCTCCATTGATATACACAATTTATCTTGTCATTTCTTCTTCTTGGTTTCATATAATATATAATAATAGTAAAAGCCTTATATACTTATGAAATACAGAACCTACCATGAGTGAAAAATAAATGAATATTTTTTGGGAATGTTTGGGAAGGAAGGGACATTTTTTTTAAGCAAGAGAAAATCCTATCTACCAGATCATTGTACATTTCAATTTGAATTAGAGATTCTGTGTACAACTACAGGTGTCCCTTGAATACAAATGCACCTGAATGAAGAATTTGAGATATGAATGAAAGTTGTACTAGACGTGGGTTTTAAAACTTATAGAGCATTTAAGATTCTTTAGAAAATGAATGCTAATAGAAAATGAGAGCCCAGCACCAGCAGTATCCCAATGAGATAGAAGGTTTCTTTTGTTTTGTTTATTTTTTTGCTTTTTATCCTTGTTTGTTGTTACCCCCACAAAAAATGAAGTTGAGATGAGAATGCTTAGATGGATGTGTGATAAGACAAGAAAAGATAGAGTTGGAAATGTATATATTTATGAAATGATAAGAGTAGCACCTATTGAAGATAAATTAAGAGTGAAAAGGTTAAAATGGTTTGGTTATGTACAAGGGAGCTGTAGATACAATGGTAAGAAAGATTGATAAAGTCACTGTAAATGGAGATGCTAGGTGGAGGGAAAGACCTAAGTTGACATGGGATGATGTGGTGGAAAATATATGAATTTAGTTAATTTAACTGAGTATATAGCCCTTGGTAGAGTTGAATAGAGAAAAATAATTAATGTAGCTGTCCCCACTTGATTGGGAACACAAGGCTTAGTTTAGTTTGGTTTGGTTTCGTTACTACACGAAAAATGTGGCTATGAAATGAATGATTAATTTTTGTCCCCAAGGGCTTGGGTTGATTGGGATAGTTGAGATGTTTGTCCAAGTGTAGCTTGATTTTAATTAGGGTTTAGTCTTTTCGGTCCAAGCCTGGTTTGATTGAGAACTTTGGCCAAATCAAAAAAACTTTTAGGCTGGTCTTGGCCCTCTTAGATTTTGTCAAGTTGAGCCTACCTAGAAACTATCAATAGATTAGACCCTTAATTGATCAATCAGATATAATTCATTGAGTAGATGGTGTTGGGAATTGTATACCAAGACGCAACGGAATATTGAAATTTTATTGTGATTACGAATTTCCACGTTCATGTTATTTGTGATGTATACAAAACATAAGTACAACAATCTATGTTAGATGATTACTTTAAGCACAAAAATTCAATTCAAATGCTTGATCTTTTGAATTCACTCCAAGCAAACAAGCCATTTAAGTGTCCAACCTTTAAAAGTATCCACATAGAGTAATTCTTGAACACAAAGGCACTCTCAAACACTCACTAATATGTAGCAAGACAAAGAAAGAGAAAATCACTAGAGTGTTAGTTCTTATGAGCGCTTTTTGCTCTCCTAGTTATGGATCCCAACAGTATTGTCTAAGAAGGAATAGATTTTATCGCAATTAACTCTTGATTAAGATAAGTCCCTAAATAACTTTTAATTGGATGAACTTTTTATTCCTTTGTATTAGGTATTGCTTCTTATGTGTGTGGGCTTTTAGATTTACCTTTTACGAGATAGTAGAAATAATATCAACCCTTGATATTTTATTAGTATTCTTTCTAATTCTCCCAAAAAACTTTTCCTTTAGGTTTTACAAATCATGAGTGACATATAACAACATATCATGACCACCCAAATAATATGAATATACTAGGTGATCTATTCAGTTAACAGTTACTGTGTGGTTCAATCCTTCTACGTATATAATATCCTACAATAGTCAATAGGGCTTGAAAGTCCATCAAACAGCTAAAACCCAATTATGTGTCCACTCTAATTGATATGAACTTACATTGGTGAAATTAAGGACTTCTTCCTAATTATCACTCTATCCTAGCCAAGGTCTTTCTGGACTTATATCCTATATGGCGACATACAACATTCTCCTTCTTTACTTGAGACTCTGATAGTTAGTGATCCCTTGTTGAACATTCACTTGTCTTCATGTTTATGTCACTAAGCCCAATCAATGTGTTTATGTTTCATAGTTAGAAGAACATAAGCACATTTTATTGACAAAGCGTAGCAATCCAAACACAGACAATCGTGTTGTTCTCAAGTCTAAGGATTATATTTACAACTATAACTAATGGAAACCTATTTGGCAAGTAAGTACAATTCTACAAGGCATTCATGAGCAGTCACGTACAATGAACTTGTTCTCTAACAAGTGCCCACATGTTTAATTTAGTGTTCTCACACAAGTGAATTGAGACTAGCCACCAATCCCAATTGAGTCAACCATAACACGTACTAGTGTATTTAGATTACTAATGCCCAGTTAGTAATCCACTTGTCTTATGGTTAGGAACCTTTAAGAATAAAGGACTTGTTTTAAGTATTTCAAACCACGTCTCCCAGATTGGCTTTAGGCATACCACTAACAGGGTTTTACACATTCGAAGTCGAAAATCATAACTAATCCCTGTTTATGCGCACAATCACTAATAAACCACTCCATTGAGGAAGTCCAGAATCATCTCTACTTCCAGTTTACCATGCATATATGATTTCTTATCTGTTCCATTTTAAATGGTGCGGCCAGTCCTTTGGTTTGGCTGATTCTTCATATGCATCAATGGATTTAACGGAGAGGAGGTTGTTGACTGAATAATGTTTTAAGGTGTATTTTGAATTTTTAGATGTCTGGTTGAGATATTCCACTGTTTCACTTGTCATTTTTTTTTTTACATTTTGTATTGTCATGCTTCAATATTGTTTCCGCCCAAACAATATGGTAGTAACAGTGTTGAAGCTGTATGTCTCAGGGAAAGGCAATGATGTGTGTGGACATGCATGCATGTGTGAGTGCACACGCACAACTGTGTGTGTGTAGATGTGTGTGTATGAGAGAGAGGACTACATGTGGCAAAGTAGACTTCAAGGGGACTTAAATCTTATATTTGATCAAACTCTGATAAAATTGGGGCAGAAATACCAAAAATGGAAGTTTCCATCTTCACTGTTCAATGAGATCTTTATTTATTCTGTGTTTAGGAGGTCATATGAATATTAGTTTAGGTTTATAATTATAATTTTTATGGCCTTAAAATTTGTTTTCTTGTCTGTTATTAACTCGTTCACTCATAGTTGATTGAGCTTTTTCCCGTCTCAAATCGAGCTTGTACAAATTCATCATGTATGGCATTTTTCCTATGCGAACCAAAAAAACACAGAAGAACACTAATGAAGAGTACATAAATTATGTTCCTGCTCATTTTCTTGATTTATATTAGCAATTCCACTAACCTCGCTGCACTTACTTGAGTTGTTCTCCATTTTTTCAAAAGGGGCCTGTGACCAGGGTGTAATGAGAACTAAGCCATGCAACTGACATTATACGTTCAATTCTTGATAATTTGCAGCTCTTGCTTTCCTTTTGTATGCCTGGAGAACAGTCTTGTGGGAGTTGTCCAACTGGAAAAAGGTTTTATCAAGTATTACCCAGTTCGTGGGATACCTCTTAAAACTTGCACTGGCCCTTATTTTCCATTTCATTGGTGATCCAGTAACTTCTCTGATCAGAGGAATAGAAACTACACTTTACACCATTCGAGCTTTCTACTCAGCAGTGATAGCATATACTCCTATTCCAGAGCTGACTCTGATCATCGTGCTGGTGTCTTCCGTAATTGCCATTGCTGAAGCTTCTGTTCCAGACTCTGTAGACAGCCAACCATACCTTCTTACAGTAGCTGGCTTAATCGGTTTTGCAGCCGTGAGAGACTTCATCTCCGAGCTGTCCTTCTGGACGCTCCTATTGGGATTGTTTGGTTTTGCTCGGTTTGTTAAGAAGAGGGATTATGTTTCTCCTGTGACAGCTACTCCGAATCCAGATGTTCTCATCTGTACACTGATGTTTTCCATCGCTGAAACAAAGTTTGGGACGTAGATTTTGCTGTACCACTTGGCATATACCACTCCACTTCCTTTTCCTCTCATCTTCTCCGATGCTCAGATTCTCCAACCTATATTTTTTCCTTTTTTCTTTCCACACACTCCTGTTCCCCACTCAACTTTCTTTTTCTTTTTTTTATTTTATTATGCTTTAGTATTTGAATTATGTATTGGGCCCTAAGTGGTGGGTTATAACCTTTATGGGCTTGCCCATGTCAAAACTAAATAAATGTACCTATTTGGGTTATATCATCTTCCTATTTTTTTTTTGTACATCTTTTCATAGAAAGTCTAAAAAATATACTTATTTAAATCATGCTAAACATTCCCTTAAAGTGATGTGCCTCAAACTTACCTCAGTGCACATCATTTCTCAGTACACACATTTAATTAGGTATTATTTATCTCATTCCACACACTATATATTCTAATTATAACCCTTGACTCAAATATTATACACACAATTTTCACCCAAACACACACCCACACACAGTCACCGAAAAAGCCATAGGAAGATAAAGATGAAGGAGAAACTACTGCAATAGTTAGGAAAGTTCCAGTTCCGTTGTTTTGTGCAACCATGGCCATTGGTGTTCATGTTGCTACTAAGTGGGCTGGGTACCGACACTTGACATGGATGATAGTTTGACCAACACGGGTGTTATGTTGTAAAGGTTGCAACTGCATTTTCTTCATGAGATCAACTCAAAAGTAGCTATCAAAGTTTTGTACTCTTCTCCGCTTGTGCTAATCTTTTTCCTTTTCCATGGTTTAGAAAGGCCATTTCATGCACCTTGGATATTATTGAATGGTGGTGGTGTTGGCTTGTAGCAGGATTATAATGGTGAGGTGTTTGCTTAGTACAAACTAAATATAACTTATTATGATTTCTCAATCCTTTTAATTAAAATGGCTATGCTCCTTAGTACTGTGGATTTTGGATCAAGATTAGAATACTGTTTAAGTTGAATTATGTTCCTTTGTACGAATAGAATGTAACAAGGTACACCGGGTGGTCGTCTACCGGTTAGACAGGATCTACCTGTGTGGGCTTCATATTTGGTCTATTTGTTCTCATGGGTTAAGTGGCTGGCTCTAGAATTCAAAATTTTTAGGATTGTCTTTGGCATAACAAGCTTAGGTACAATGTAAAGTTGTGTTGAGCTTGGTAGACACAAAGTTTGTTAATATACAGTGCAAATCTGCTTGAATTCCACTAAACAACCTGATCGGTGCCCACCCCTTGAGCAAAATAGAATAGTAAAAATTATGAGCCAACATGTCAACAGGAAATTCCTTCAAACTCCAAAAGGTTGGGTGGGAGTTCTTTTTATGAAATCTATCTTTCTTTTTTTTTTTTGTTTTTTTTGTTTTTTTGCTTTTGTTTTTGTTTTTAGTGTCTAATTGTCTTCTCATTAATCAATTAACAAATTCCTTGTAACCAAAGAAAAATATATATATTTTTTTTATGATGAATTGCATCCCTATAAAATAATTATTTAAGCATTTGATTTTTTTTGAATAAAATTACAATTGATATAATTTCAAAGTAAAAAAATACCAATTAAGTGTTCTCTCATCATAAATTACATGATTTTTGAATAAAAATAAAATAAAATAATTACATGATTGGTGTCTTTTGTTAATTCCCTCCTCTAAAGCATATCATAGTCCTAAGGAATATAATCTTCTTTTTAGTTTTACAAACAAATATCATTTTAGTGGGTCTCACATCTATTCTAATCCAATCTCATCATCTATAATCCAAAACAAACACAAACAGGCTTATAGAGTAAGATAAATGGTATTTCTTGACATCAATGTTGTAATGGTAGACTTAATTTTGGGAAATTCTATTTAGGCCCCATTTGAGAATTGCCTATTTTAGTTTATATATATATATATATATATATTTTACAAAATAACATGTGAAAAAATAAAAAGAGTAATGTGACAATTTGTAATAGTTTTTCGGCTTTTTGGTTGAAAATCCAACTCTCCAAATAGGGCCTTAGACATCATCAAATCCAGCCGTTCACATAATTACTTTCCTATTTGCTAAGTTCACCCCACACTTGAAAAGTTTGATCCATTAGAAATTTTATTTTCACATATCTATTTATTTCTGTGCACATATTTAATGAAATATTATTTTAATAACAACTGTATCATAAAATAAAATAACCATAATAGACATCAAAACGCATCTTTAATATTATATTAAAATTTTTTCCATACATATCTTTTTAAAATAAAAAAAAAATTCAATACACATCTTTTGGGTAAAAAAAATTGAACTAAAATTTCTCCATTTCTCACATAGTCTATTATCCATTACTGGTCCACAATTGACCACATATAGGTTTGGACTTGACTCGCCATCCAGTCCTTCTGGTCGTTCAAATCGAGGAAACCCCATATACTCATGTTCCTAAAGGAATTAATCATGTAATTACACAACATGAAATATCATTTAAAAAAAAAAACACAAGTATAGAAGTAATCATAACTGAAACACATCAAGTTTAGCCAAAACTAATAAAACTTTCTCAGTATTATTCAGAATCCCAGTCAATTAGGTGCGTTGCAGCGTCCATAAATATTGTACACCACAACATGTTTGGCAAATAAAAATACAAATAAATCATCTAAAATAACACCGTTCATGAAAATTGAGTCATTAACGACTAATGGCACTTCTGGGATTTTATGAGATTGCACCATTTCACTTCCTTTTTTTTAACACATCATATTGCATTTGTATGCAAATCCAAAAAAATAAATTGTTTGCAGATATTTTAATATTGTTGATTTTTTGGCTTTCGAAAGTTATTATTGTAATTGCGAGCGTGCCAGCAAAGATCAATCAGTCCTTACAGAAATTTAATTGCCAACTAATTATCAGACGATTGTGTTTTTGTTCTCTCAGCCTTAATGAAGAAGACTTTTATTGGTGGCTTGATTTAGGAGAATTAAGCAAAATATCAATCAAATAAAGAACAACTGAAGCATTTCATTAGAATGAAAAACTTACAATGATTTAAACTCAGCCTCGTAGAGATTTACAGCGACAATCTACTTGAAACTATTCCTATGAATGAAGTGCAGTGCAGGAATTTAAAGTACTGGAATGTAAAGAACATGAAATGTAAAACTTAAGTAAAGTGGAATAAGACTGATTTTTTGGATCTGACTCTGGGAGCTTTTTCTGGGGCCTTCTCTACTATTTATACTGCTCGAGGATAACCATCGAATTGCATTTTCAACGGTCGAACTGCTCCTCCATGATCGCTGATCGTGTTGCCCCAATATTAGCTCCATTACGCCATTACTCGCAGTTAAGCTTCCCTCCTAAATTTGAATTTGAAATGCGAGTAACCGTTGAAGTCACATCACCTTGCATCTCTTTATTGATCCACTGCTACTCAGATCTCGTAATAACCAACACTAACTATTACGTGCATGATCAGAATCAAAGACTTGAATAGTCTTCCTATATCACCCTTATTTTGCCATGTATCGAATTGTAATTGGCTTGTACAAAATATGTAGCCAACATTACCCCCCGCACTAATATACCCAATACTTGGTAATATTAGTGGATCAAGGTCTTCTTCCCACGTCTTAGAATGTGCATGGATTTTGCATTTTCTCAGAAATGCGACTGTCATTCACTGTCTGCATTAAACTCTCCTTCAATCTTTTGAACACCCCCACCAGCATAGCATTCGAACAGAGTGATACATTTTATGGCAGAATCAATTTTTTCCTCCAATGATCGAGCACACGAAGAGTCATATGACGAAGTTGTTCCTTCTCAAAAGAACCTCCATGCATTAATCAGTCACCTTTACCCCACTTTCTATATTCAGGTCATGGATGCTTTTGCAGATTATCAACCCTTAGATTTCAAACATACTGCCCTTAATCCTTTGATTCAGAAACTTACAAATGTGGACATGGGAAGTTCTTTTTCTGCTTCACCCTTGGACTACGAACAAGCTGCTCTCAATCATTTGATTCAGAAAGTCGCAAATATGGACATGGGAAGTTCTTCTTCACAAACCTCTGCATGGGATAAGGCTACAGCTTCTTGCTCTTCTGGGACTTCTGGCTGGACAAATTGGTCAAAGCCTGAGGCCTGTGATTTGAGGGAACGAATCAACCATCACTTTGTCAAGTTTACTGACCCTTTAGAGTTCCCTTCCTATGCGCGGAGCTCGGTGGTATATCCCTACGTGTCCATTGACCATCGACGCAATTTGGAGGAGAATCTGTTTGTGGCATGGTATACATCTTCCATGCCTACAAAGATAGTGCACCCTGCTCGACATCTAGAAGAGGCACAAGGGTACAATCCATCATTCTTAGCCCAGAAGGCAAAGATTTGTTCTTCTGACTGGCTTGATTATATTAATGCCTTTGTTCCTTCTGCCCTTGCATCTTCTCCTGAAATAGAAGCATCCACACCTTCTCCTCCGCCCAATCTTTGCTGGACAGAGAGACTGAGGCTTGCCCTCTCCACAGATAAGGTCTTTCCACCTTACAAGCCTCCACCTTCCCCTACTCCGGCTGAGCAAAAGCAAGCTCAACTTCTGCTCGCGACTTTCTCCCACTTGCCTTTCAATATTCTTGAGGACGAAGTCCCTCTCAAGAACCTTCGATGGGCTTGTGATATTCTGACTCGGGGTCATGTCCTCAATCCCCTCGCCCAAGCAGAGCTTCACATGTTTTTGGACCAACTTCCATTGCTTCTCCACTGGCATCGGACCTCTATGGCCACCACACAATCTTTAGACCAACTCTCGTCCCTTCGAGTTAATGCCCAGTACGAAGCAGAGAACTTCATTGAAGAATTCAATGATTTCAAGAATAAAGATTCTGCATACTGAGATGACTTGGATATAGACGAATTGGAACAAGGATTGAGAGAAACAACTTTCGAAATAAAGGCTGAAGAGCTCTTTTACGAAGTGAGAGCACATCAACTCATGCAGCCAATATTAGAAGAAATAAAGGACAGAACAAAGAAAGAACAGAAATTCATTGATCATAGTTGGACTAAATTTCACGATCTTGTTATTTATTCCATTCCCTATTTTTATGAGCTTGAGTTTATACCCAAATA